TGAGAAGTCTGCTGTGATTCTGATGGGCTTTCCTTTGTATGTGATTTGTTTCTTTTCTCTCACTGCTTGTAGAATTTTGTTATTCTGTTGGGTTTCTGGAATCTTAACAATTATATGTCTATGTGTAGATTTTTTTTGATCCAGGCTATTTGGAGTCCTATATGCCTTGCTTATCTGTATGTCAAATTCTTTTCCCCTCCTTGGGAAGTTTTCTGCCATCACTTCTGTAAACAATTTATGTTATCTCCACTCTCTCCTGTTTCTTCATTGACTCCAATCAGTCTTACATTGTTCTTCTTTGCATCATCTAGCAGCTGTTGGATTGATTTCTAGTGGTCCCTTAAAATTTTAAAGAATTTTTTCTTTTCCTGGTCACTAATTGCAATGTTATTTTCTATATCTGAAATTCTGTCTTCACATTGGCTCATTCTGTTGCATAAACTTTCAATGGAGTTTTTAATTTCCTGGAAATCTGTTTGCATCTGTTTTATGAATTCCATTTGTTTCCTATGTTGGCATTCCATCATGTTCCTCAGCTCCTCTATTTTTTTTATCTGTATCTTCTCTAGATTTATTAATCATGTTTTACACTATGGGCACAATCTTTGCTGTTAGGTGTGAAATTTTTTCTGATTTCATTTTTTCCAGATCCTCTTTTGTTGTTAGTTCAGGGAGTCCAGGTGGTTGAATATAAGAGTGTTCCATCTCATTTCCCCTTGGGGTTGCTGTCTACTATCTTATTTCTCCAAAACTAAGACCTAGTATGATTTTAGAGGATGTCTCTTCTAAAATCATGCTAGAACTTGTCTTCCTGGCAGGTCATTTTCAGGGAAACACAATATGATGTGATTAAAATGATAATGTTTTGTCTTTCCTTGAAGTAAAACTGATATACTAATCTAACCCAAAAGATACAGACTTATGAAAATTTCTACATAACAAGATTTTCATAGCCATCATAAATTTTTCCCTGACTTTCCCTGGGCCAAGCCAGGTAACCCCCACCCCCACCCCACGCATGGCTCTGTAGAATTTCTGTGCTATTCTACTAGACTCCATTTGCCAGCTGCTTACAACAGCTGGGCTTAGTGCTAATTCATTAACTCTGAATGAGGTCATTATCATACCCATTTTACAGGTGGAGAAAGTGAAGCACTAGGAGATGAAGTCACCAGCCTAAGGGCTGCTAAACTGGCAGGACAAGGCTGTGTACATAGGGACTGAGAGTAGCGCAATGGTAGAGTGGCAGCCTAGCATATATAAGGCCCTGGGCTCATTCCTCAGCACTATAGGGAAAAAAGTATATGTATAGCTCTGCACCTATATCCTATATCTATCTACTTTTGTCTTCTTTTAAAGAAATCACCTGAAAAATAAAGAAAGAAATAAAAAAATTTAAAAAAATAAAGAAATCACCTGTATTTAAGAGATAGAATCTTGGATCTTCAAAGTGTACTGAATTTAAAATGTTATATAGTTTTATTTTATCAGTGAACTGAGAAATCTGTTTGAACCAGAACCAAATTGTCATGTTTTTCCAAAGTACTTGCTGAAGGGGCTTCCCCTTTAGCAGGTGGACAATGGAGGGAACCCTGCATCACAATGCAGTGTATGATGTAAAAAATATGTAATGGAAAAGCCACTGGATCCACCTGATATTTCAACCCTGTCCTTTATACTTACAGGATTGAAGAAGTTAGGGCATGGTGGCTAATCCTTGCTCCCTTCCAACTGTTCATCTGCCCCAGCTTCAGGATTATGGCTAGAAAAGTAACCTTCAGGTCCTACCAAGTGGAGCAGGCTTAGAGAGCAAGCAAAGCCCGGGAAGATTCATTTCTATTTTTCAATTCTCTTCCTACCCACCACCTGGTGTCACTGACTAAAGCCAGTGCAGCCTCTAGCTCCCAAGCTCCAGCTAAAGGAGAAGTGGATAGGTAAGTTGAAGGTCTCTCTATTTATGTTTTAAAACAGGGGCTCAGTATGTTCCCCATGATGGCCCTGAACTTGTGATCCTCCTGGCTCAGCCTCATGAGTAGCTGGAAGGTTTCAATACCATGGTTTACATGAAACAGACCACCCACAATGACCTTGTAGTAAAAAAACCCAGGAAGCAACTGGCCACAGGAGCCACTGGCAAGAGTATACCTTCTACTGGAGAGGGAAGAAACCTCACATTACAAGCCTGATGCCTTGGGGCTCTGTGAAATCAGATGTTATCAGAAGTCTGCTGAACTTCTGATTTACACATTTTCTTTCCATTATCTGGTACAAGAAATTGCTCAAGGCTTCAAAACATATCTGAGCTTCCAGAGTGCAGCTCCTGGTGCTTTGTAGGGGGCAGATGAGGACTATGTAGTTAGCCTTCTTGAGAATACAACCTGTGTGTTATCCAGGCCAACAGTGCAAATTTGGGGCAAAGGACATTCAGAGGATGCTACATACTTGGAGAGCATGCTTAAGAATCCATGGAGATGGAAATGTTTCATTCTCACACACACACACAAATAAAAAGATTTTTCTTCTTCCTGTTATTGATAGTTCTGAATGTTATACTTTACCCCAGGTGTCAAAATGTACCTGGCTTATGACTTAGAATGGGCAAATAAGGGATAGAAATCTGGTACTGTAGTTCTTCTATTTTCATTTGTGGGTGAAATTTTAATATAAAGTAGGATGTAAATGATTAGTGTAAGTCAGAATGTCTTAGTGAACAAGTTCCAGCAATTCAGCTTTATAACAATCTTAAATAAAATTGCTAAGTTTCTATGCATAATTTTGGTATATGAATCTTTTCAAAGAAAATATATTTCTTATTGATAACAACTAAATGGCATATGTAGCATTTTTTTATGCAGTATATTCCATCTGTTATGGCTTGTGTCTAGATGTTCCCCCAAAGCCTCATGCAGTCATAGGTGGGGCTTTTTCAGAGATGGGTGCATCTAGAATGTGTGATTGATTCATGGTGTAATCCTAGGATTAAGGGTGTGAATGCTATCTGCCCTAAAGGCAAGTAGCCTGGATACAATATAAGGGACAGAAAGAGGCTTGCTATTAGGAACTCATAGTTTGTTGCTTGCTGCTTGCTGTCTTCTGCCTGCCATGAACTGTTTCTCCTCTTGGATGCCTCTCTGCTATCCCACTCTGCCTTGGAGCCAGCCGACTACAGAATGAAACCTCTATGAACTTTGAGTCAAATAAACTTTTCCTCCTTTAACTTGTGGGTATAGCAATGAGAAAAGTAACTAAGACACCATCCATTTGCTGTAGTTTTCTAACTGACTTGTCCTGCATGCACATATGTGTTTAGTGTTGTCTGCTCTCTCTGTAAATTGTCCATTTAAATACATTAAGCAGGGCTAAGGACATTGCTCAATGATGGAGTGTTTGTGTCTATCACTCATGAGACCCTGTTTTCAATCCCCAGCACCACAAAAACAACAAATAATGAGCAAAACAAAACAACAAAAAATTAAACTATTCAAAGATTAGTTTTTGCTTTTAATAGTTTAATAATTATATACAATTTTCATTTTGTCCTTTAGCATGCCTTATAATCTTTTGTTGAAAGCCAGAGCTGAAGAATTCAGGAAAAAGAACAGCTATAAAGAGGCTCTGGTGTGAGACTGTAGTTGATCTGGCCTAGTGTTGAGCCCACATTACTGTTCGCTGAAACTTCAGGTGTCAGAAGCTATGCTATCATCTGTCAGCTTGTTTTGGCTTCCTTGTTGTCTCCAGGCTTCCCTAGAGACTACTTAAATATTCTCTAGAGACTTATTAAACAGTTTTGGGGGTTGTATTTCCTGGTTATTACACAGGAGCCCTATTGATGTGGCGGTGAGGTGCCAGGGAGGGAAGTGCTTTGTAGTCCTACAACAGGCTGTGACCCCGGCTGTGACCTTTACAAGTGCTTCTTGGCTAGTGGTTTTTCATTCTTAGGTGAGACAGGAAGGCTACAGTGGTATTTTCCTTTCCTCAGGTTAGTTAAGATCCAGTTTGTCTTGAAGAGTAGAATGTTCTGGGCGTGTTTAAAAATAGCTATTTTTCCTACATCTACTGGAAGCACTAACAAATTTTTCTCTCATCTTCACTATAAGAATCTGGTAGGGTTCTCAACTGCCCAAGAAAGTGTGAGTTCTATCCTACAATTGACCCAAATTTCTTTCTAAATTTTTTAACAGAAGAAAGAATACACGCAATTTATGTCACACATAACTGAGGCACGGGGGAATTAGGCTGAAAGAAGGACAAGATGCCTGACTCTTATGCAGAGGTTAAATGACAGGGGTTTGGCTTCTGGAATGAAGGGAGGTGGCCCGGTCTGTGGAAGAGTGCGGGTGGGGGCACAGCACAGCGGGTCTGTTTTCTGATGCATGTAAAATCTCCAGCTTGCAGCCACCTGTGGTCACCTCTGCCTGGGCCAGACTCCGGTCTCTTCTTTCTGTTCTGCCCAGGCTGTGACCATGATGCTGCTCTAACATCCATCCCCAGGGACCATCTGAATTGGAGTTTTTCAAATTGAAGCTAGGGATAGGCACTCACTTGTTAGGTAGAAAAGCCAGGCCAAAGAACTCAAGTGATGCCACATCTAGATCTTTCTTCACCCCAAAGGAGAAGTGAGGCTTAAAACACCTCAGGGTCTGGCCTCAGGTCCCTTGGGATATGTTTGCTCAATGCTGCAGTTTTGCTGTCTCCATAGTTCCAATCAGGCCAGAATTTTAGTACAAACCTGTCCCAAATGGGTAAAGGAAATTGTCTAAGAGGGATGACCCAGTCTTGTGCTGTTTTAACACTGTATTTCCCTCCTGTTCCCCAACTGTTTTCCACATGGGGACACAGGAGGACGCACAAAAGCAGTGAAGGTCATCTCTTGAGTAATAATGGGAAGTTGCAGGTGTTTTTGTCTAGTGAACATTTTCAGATGCTTTCTGCCCACAGCACAGCATTAACCCAGGGCTGCCATTCGTCTTGCACCACATTGTGCCTCAGCCAGCATTACCAGCACTGACCACAGCAGCAGTTTGACTCTCTGGCCTTATACAAACCCAAGCCTTGTGCTGATGCCTAACACCAGGGGATGCTGTCCAGGAGTGAGCTGCCACTCTGCAGGCTAGCACTGGGGCATAAGTCCCCAGAGCTCAGCTTCTTGGGCTCCAGGTTCCTCCCTAGTGTCAGGCCCTGGGCTCAGGGCCCATCCCTGGAGACAGCCTTCATGGATTAATTTGGAGAACTGCACCCAAATCCCTAGGCTGAGGGCAGTGGCCCATGACAGGGGAGGAAGTTCTAGCTTCCAGTGACTTTCAAGTGGAGGTTCCACTAGCTCTGGACATCCAGGCTGAAGTGAGCTTATGTTTTCTTAAGGTCACGGGAATGGGCTTGGGTTTCTTTAGGGAAGGGTTACCGTTTAGAGACTCGTGGCAGTGACCTCCACCTCTCTAAGCATGAGCCTCTGTTCCTTCCTCCTGTTGGAGGGCTTGAGATCTGGTGATTTTCCTGCAGCTTAGAGGTAATGGCTGCTCTTCAGTACAGGCTGACTGGGGACTGACTGTGACGGGAGGTGATAAGCTTCCTCTGTAGGGACTGGTGGCCTGTCTTGTTGTCATCACAGGATAATTTACCAAGGCATTTATGGTTGTTTTCTGTTCCTGCTAGAAGAGATTTTTATTTTTTAAATTTTTTTATTTTTTGGTACCAGGGATCAAACTCGGGACCTTGTGCTTGCAAGGCAGGTGGCAGAACCACTGAGTTAAATCCCTGGCCCTAGAAGAGATTTTTATTTATTTATTTATTTATTTATTTATTTATTTATTTATTTATTTATTTATTTTTAGAAGAGATTTTTAAAAGGAGAAAAATATAATTTCCCCCTTTTCAAGGAAATTCTAGCCTGCTGATCTTCCAGGTGATGTATTAGTTATCTGTTGCTGCATAACAAATTTCTCCAAATCTTAGTAGATTAAATCAAGAAATATTTGTCACAGTTTCTGTGAGTCACGGATCCACTTCTGAGCTGACTCAGTTTCCTACAAGGCTGAACTCAAGGTTTGGCTGGGATTCTGGTACCTCAAGGTATACTTGGGGAAGATCCATGTGTCCAAACTCACTAATGTAGCTTGTGGTAAAACTTGGGGCATCGCTAACTGTTGTCCTAGACATCACTTTCTTGGCACATGGGATTCTCCAATGGCCAGCTCTCAATATGGCAGCTGGCTTCCCTCAGAGCAGTGATGGATGAAGAGGACAGCGAAGGGGATGGAAGTCAGTCACAGCTGTCTTACAGGCTAATTTTGGAAGTGACATTTTATCACATTTGCTGTGTTCTGTTTGTTAGAAATGAGTCACTGGGCCCAGCACATATTCAAACCAGGGGTTCGCACAAGGACGTGAACAACAGGAAGCAGGAATCCTTGCGAATCCTCCCAAGGCTGCCATCAAAGGTTTTTCCACAAGCTTTGTGCTTCCTAGCCCAAAAGAAAGTTGTACGGCATCTATTGTGGAACTCTATCAAGGCTCTTGTGTGGAAGGTAGATTTAGTGGGTGATCCTTGGAGGGAGGAAGTAGGGTCTGAAGGTGGAGCCACTGGGTTGAAAGACAAGGTGCAACTCAGGGTCAGCAGTGGCTGCAGGGGCTTGAGGACAAGTGTGTGGCAAAACCCACAAGCATTAGTTTTCTAGGTGCAAGTGTCCTAGGAGGCAGCAGGGCTTCTGGTGGAGTGAGCAGATACTTTCGCCTGGGGACACTAAGCATCAAACACCATTGTGTCCAGAGGTAAGCAAAATGCCAGATCTCCTAAGTGGCAAAGAGACTGTGGAGCCACTCGCCTTTGAGCTATCCATATGGCCTTGGACCGTGAACATCTCAGTAGCCGCCATGATTTAATAAAGACCAGAGAATCTTTCCTAAGCATTTTTGGACAAATTTTTATCACTAAAGAGTAAAAGGGCCCTAATAATGACTGACATTGGGTCTTCTTATCCTATCCTAGTAAATGAGTATCTCTTAGTCCAAAATTGTCACAGTGGGTAATATATTGACAGAAATTTATTTTTCACATTTCTCAAGGCTGGGAAGTCCAAGATCAAAATGTTAGCATTTGGTGTCTGGTTGTGGACTTTCATCTGCATTTCCATGAGGATGAGCACTGTGTGCTACATGGGGAAAGGCGGAAGGGCGAAAGTGCCTAGCTATTTCCAGTGAGCACTTTTACAAGGGCACTGATCCTGTTCAGGACCAAGGCCTTTTGATGTAATCATCTTTAAAAGAGCCTATCTCTTAATCTTATCACACAGGGCCTTAGGTTCTAACATGTGAGTTTGGGAGGACACAGACATTCAAACCAGAACAGGGGTTAGAACCACGTAAAATTTAATTTAGAAAAGTTTCATAATTTTCTTTCACATTGTCATTGTAAATTTTGATTTATATTTATTTTTATCTAATCCTTGTCATTATAATAGGTATTGTTTCCTTTTCAAAGAGAAACTGAAGCTAAGAGAAGTGAATATGTTTGTAGGGGTTTAACTTAGAATAA